CCTGAATTGACCACAGCAGCTTGGAGCTGAAGATGGGGCTCGAGTTACGCTAAGGTAACGCTAGCAGCGTGCCTCGTGAGCGTTTGGTGTGCCTCGTTTTCGGAGGAGAGGGAAGCTCGCTAATCTGTGCTCCTTTGAGACTGAGAAGCTGTTAGGAGTTTTAGAATGATCCTCAAAAGTCGGGGCTTAACTTGGGCCTGTAAAGTCCTAAGAACCCTGCTGAAGTCCTGGTTCTCCGCCTCAGAGAGTGTTAGAAGCGCGTGTCCCATTTTCCGTTACCCGCTCGCAGTACACCGTTCCAGTGTGCACTGTGCAGTGTGCAGCTTGTGACCGCGGGGCCGGAACTGGCTCTGCGTCGCCCGTCCAGCGCGGAGTCATTACCGGGGGTCACTGCATACGTTGAGCGTGTCCGTCCGTGCACAGTGGGCCTGTGCACAGCGGACCTGTGCACTGATGTGGGACATGCGGCGGCAGCCGGTGCCATGCGGCTGCGCTCCAGCCTCGGTCAACTGACGGACGTTACGGCTGGAGACTGATGAATAGTCGGATTTCACCGGCTCCCTGCAGCGACAACGCGCGCGGCGGAGGCGGTGGTCGCAGGTGCGCCGGGTGCGCGTGCCTGAGTCCTGTGACCCCGGCGGACTCTGCGCGGACGGTCACGGGGGGATTAGTGCGCCCGGCGGGGTCAGCGGCGGTCACTGAGCGGTCACTGCGCGCGACCACTGCCGGCTATGGTAATGCGCGCCTGTGACCGTGTCGCCGCTGCAGCGCGGCGGTGGAATATCAGATGGCTGACCGAGGTATTCCGGGAGACGATCCGACCCGACTGGGCTCTGCAGCTAGGCCACTGGCCGCCGGACGCCAGGGGTTGATGACACCGGCCCCGGAGGCTTGTTTGTGCCGTGCACGGCGAGCATACTATGTAGATGTGCGCGGAGAGCTCTGTGACATTCGGTGCAGCGGTGAGCGGTATGGTACAGGGTAGCACTGAGTGGGGTCACACGTATGCCTGCAGGAAGTCGTGTCACGTTCGTATGGGACGAGGGGCTCTGTTCTCGTTCCAGGTCTGAGAACGTGAACTCGGGACATGGGTCGCCACACCTTAGCATCATATCATTGCCGCTGTTACGACAAACGGTTCCGACTATAGGCTGCATTGCCACGTACGTGGCGAGCTGCTGGGACGTGCTGTGTTGCCCCCGCCCCCCCCCCCCCTCTCCCTCTTCCGTGTGCTGCAGCCCCCTTCACCGTTCTACGATGTATGCGCCGCAGCAGCCTCAGTGCTGGTGGAGTCGCAACAGCCCCCACCCTGGCCTGGATTGCAATCACCTCTGGACTACATATCTGCGCTGTGATGCGACATTGACAAACCGATCAGATGCTGCATCACTCGACTGGCCTTCAGTCATATCCCAAGGACATGTCAGCCCGTCCCAACTCACCGCTCTGCTCCTGTCAACCTTTACCTGTCGCCGGCCGCGCGGGGGTGGCCACTCGCTCAACTATTGACACCATCAAGATCACAGGCGCTGCCAGCAAACTTTCACCGGCTCGCTCCCCGGTGGATAGGTCGTCCCCCGCCCGGATATCGCGAACATCCCGAACGGCGAGATCAAAGCCTGCGCGGTGGGCGGCTCCGTCCGGCTCATCTAGCCCATCTGCCTGCTGTGGGCGGGATGTGCCCTCCCCGCCGGGGGACGTCCTCTCCCCGCTGGGGGGCTGTTCCCGCCCGTAATCCTCCAAGTTGGTCGGTGACGAGGACCGTCCGGTCCCGGACGGCGGCTGCCGACCGATTTAGATCACCGGCCTGTGTGCCCTGGTGCGACCGATGACCAGGTGTTCTCTCCGTCCACGGTAATGAGACTCCCCGCTGAACCCGGTATGAGCACTGAACGCCGCGGGGCTGTGTGAGATGGAGGATACAGCTGAACTTGCAAGTTAGCAACCCTCCCGGATGTTCGAAATTGAATCATGATAGGGTTTCAGCGCCGTGGTTTGAGAGCATTTTTGTAAAGGCTACTGGGCGGCAGGAATTACCTCCTGTGATTGGAGCTGCTATTCAGTTTCTGAGCTCATGCGGCTTCTGTTTTCAGACGGTTCCAAGTAACGATACCTGAGCGCTTTTGAAATTAGGTGAATAACTGTTAGCTTAACTCTCCATACATCAAAACCACCCAATAAGCTGTGTTTTATTATTTATCAGCCAGGAGTGTGCTTTATTTTCAGCCTTGTATCGAATATCGGTGGGTAACGTATAGGTTAGTTTGTCAGTCCTCTGTGCAGTACGGAATAGCGAGTGTGCGCGCTTTCTGCTGGTGACGGCAGACCCACTCCCCAGCATGTCTGCGTGCTGTCTGCCGCTGCGGACGTGATCAGAATGCCCATGCCAGTCTGTCGGCGAGCGTGCCCCTCTGGCCGCCACCCGGCCCGGCTCCGGCCAGTGAGTCCACGACGGACGACAATAGTCCTGCATGGCGCTGCAAAAATGCCCTCACTCGGCCCGCTCTAGCCCCGTCTGGCGGGCGCGTATCTGCCGTTTATGAGCGGCAGGCTTGCAGGGACGCGAGTCGGTCCTCGCCCGGCGTCCCGGAGTCGTGCGCCGACAGTGACACTAATCCGTCTGCATCGCACCGATAACACGCAATCGGCGCCCGGGTCGTACGGGCGCCGACGCCCCGGGACGCGCCGGCCAGAGATGTTTCCATTTGGGGCGCCGATGGGATTGTGCTACCGAAGCCCTGTTGATGGCCTCGGCGATTTGGGGCGCGCTGTAAACCGGCTGTGCTGTGTGGGTGTTTTGACAGCCTAGGATCAGCTGTGGTAATTCGACGGGGATTGATTTTGGATTCAGCTACCGATGTTGGGATGTGAGTGGGACTATCGGCGACCCTTAACTTGAGATGGTGCTATCGCCGACCCTTGGTGCTGAGATGGCACTGTCGGGATTGGCCTGTCTTCGACCTTAATTTTGGGATGGGGCCACCCCCGAATTAAATGCTGGAATGCAAATGGCGGGATTGCGGACAGTGTTGAGATGGGCCATCGCCGACCACCGTGCTGGGCTGACGATCGCGACTGCGTGGTAGCTATGCCGCTCAGGCTTGCCGTGTCTGGTCGCCGTGTTTCCGAACGAGGGGCCTCCCCTGACTGGAAACAGCGACCGCGGCTCGGCAGCTAACAGCAGCCCGCTGTCGGCTGTCCCACGGGACTCAAATGCGGTTTGTTGTCGGCCTCGCCGCGCGTGGGCGCCGTTTTCGATCGTTTATTGGCGGCGCCGAACGACTGTTTGGCCGACCTGCTCGAATAGGGATTACATCGCCACACGACGACCGTGCGTGTGAGGCGAGGCACGCTACCGCCGGGACGACGTTAGCGACGACGACGACGACGACGGTAGCGACGGTAGCGAGCAGTGGGTGACGTAGGGCAGACGCCACCGTTGCGTGCAGCTGTCGTTGGGCTCATTCTGCCCGCTCGCCGCTGAACATTTGTCGGGCGGAGCTGAGGGCTGGGAGGCGGAGGCCGAGAGGGAGTCGAGCGGGGTCGATGCCGACCGGCCGACGCGCGGCGCCGCCGTGAACGATGCCCGACGTCGGCCCGTCGGCGCGACGAAGAGTGAACGGATACCGGGGCGTCACTGTCGCAGCTCCGGCGACAATTACACTGGGGTGGGGCGCGCTCCTGCTGCCTCTCCGTCACCGCGCCGCCCCCTCTCCCGTCCATTACAGTTCGGCCAGAACAGGGCACAGAGCCGGTGACCCTGCCGCTGTTGGGTTACTCACATTTTCCCTTTCTACATCGCTGTATAAGTGATGACAGTAGTATTAGCGCTAAGCCGTTTATGCAACTCGTAAATGAGAACGGTAAACAGCTCCGTTGGAACTCGGGTAGGTATTGCAACAACTTTCAGCTCGCTTAGCATACGTTATTCACCTACATGACCGCTTATCCGACGGCATATCGGCATAGCGCTTCCAGTCCATCTGCCCTAGCCCGTCACTGTCGCTCCACGACACACATTCACCGGGCGAACCCCATCCGAATCGGCATCGTCTTGTTACGCCATGCCGGTCTCACTTTCGCCCTCTGTTCCTGATCGGTGGGGCTTGTAACGTATGCGGGAGTGTGCCGTGTCGACCCTGATCAGCCCCGGTCGGGGCGGACTGGAGCGGTGCATCTCCGGCCGATGGCGCGGCCAAATTCGGCACGGAGCCCACTAGTGAGACACGAGACACTATGCAACATGGGACGGTCCGCCCTGACCGCGGTGGCTGGCGCTGGTCGGTGGTGATACCGGTGTTAGTGCTGCTGGTGACTCCGCCGGTGACAGTGGTGGGCACGCGCGAGGTGCTGGCAGCGCGGGCGACTCCCGGTAGCGCGGCGGCCTGGGCCGGGCGGATGTTGCCGGGCCGATGTCGCCGCTGCCGCCGTTACTGTCATTCGGTGGCCGCTGCCGCCGCCGGCCGGCCGAGACCGTCACGGAGCGCAGAGACCGCGGCGAAAGTGGCGGCGTCGCCGCGGCCAGCGGTGACCGGCCGGGCCGCCGCCCCGTGCTGGCGCCGCTGCCGACGCGCCGACACCCCGCGCCGGACCGCGGCCGCTTTGTCGCTGCGGCCCGTTTCACTTTCGACGGTGCGGACCGTGTACTGTGCGGGAATTGTGTGAGGCCGGCAGTGAATGGGTGTGGGGAGCGTGGGAGGTCTCGAATGGGAGCGGGGAGGGTGGGAGGGCCCGCCGGTGATGCAGGGCCTCTCGCTACTACCGGCCACTCTCGCCGACCGGTACTCGTCACAGCGGCGCCGTATTGAGCGCCATCCGTCCCCATCCCCCCCCCCCCGTGCTGCTCTGCAGGGACCCGTCGACTATGTCACACCTGTTAATCACTTTGTCAACCCCTATAACCTACTGGAAAGCGTCGCTAAAGTATTGACAGCGGCGTTGTGCCTCGCTGCCCTCCGACATACCTTCTCGTCTGACCGATGTTTTGTCCTCTGTTGCAGGTCTGCCCGGTCCCGGCTTCGGTCTGCCCTACATACCTAACGGCCAGGAGCAGTACTTTATCGCCGGTGAGTGACGGGCTGTTCCCTCCCGGATGCTGCTCGTCTCGGGTCGCTCCGGCGCCGCCCTTTTTGCGTGAGGTCGCCTGTCGACCGCGGCCCGGAGCCCGTGCCTTTTTGTGCGTGGCCCACCCCGTCTTTTTGCGACCCAGCCGGATACCGCGCAGGAGTTTGACCTCTTCCGCGGCCTGATGCCCTTCGCATGACCCGTGATGACCTGTAGTGACCTCCGGTGACCCGGACGTGGGGTTAACTGGTGCTGACAGACAGCTGTTAGTCTCGGGTAACACCTTCGTCCTGAGGGCTGTTCACGGACCCTGTGTGCGGTCGGACCGCACACAGCCTCCAAGCTCCGCCCACTGCGTCCCTACGTCAGCCTTGCGTCACCGCACACAGCGACCGCTGTGGCCGGTCGGGACTGGCCACAGCGGACCGTCCACCGCACGCAGCCGTGACGTCAGAGCCGCCTACCCATCCCCTACCCCCACGCCTGCTGGACGTACCGCACACAGCGCACGCAGCAGTGTGCGGTGCCCGTGAACACCCCTCTGATAACATTGGTAGACACTAGACAGCCATCGGTTTACCGACCTTAGATACTCCCAGAAGTTCGACTCGGCTCCGGTAATCAGTTGCGCCGTACTACACCGTGCTGACCCCTTGCTCGACATGTGATCCCTGCTTACCACACTCCGCCTGCTCTCGTGACCCTCGCGACCCTGACCCGGTCCGATGTTATTCTACTGAGCCGCTCTGCGGCTAGTCGCGTGACCCGCCTACCTCGTGCCCCCCCCCTACCACCACGCCCCCCCCCTCCCCAAACCGATTACCCAGCTGTTCTGCCGGCCAAGTTTTCTCATTTCTAGAAACTTGTGTGCAGTGTGGGGCGATCGTCCCTGCTCCGTCCGACTTTGTTTTCTGGCCGTGCGAAGAGGCCGCTAAATCTTGCATGCTTTTATCCCCGGGAGTGGAAATGGGCACTGTACTGACTTTGGCAGCTCTTCGGGCCGACGGGTCGGGTGGTCTGTTCTGTTCGGTGAAGTGAAACACAGCCACCGGGGAGTGCCCATTGTTTGAAGCTCGTTTTAACTAGTGCTGTTGAGCAGTATATCTGAAAAGCGATGCTTCAGAATGATTCACGACCACTTTTAAACGCTCTGTTTTCTTTGAGCTGGAAATGACTTGCCTATTTTTATCCTGATAGCGTCATTTTTTTGTGGTAAAGTCATAAGTCTCAATTTCCACTTCGTCGACTGTATTCTAGTCGCGCTTTCCGGGCCAGAAACGGTCGCTCTATCAGCTAACAGCACCATCGGCTCTCTGTATCGCTGATGGGTGCCGCCTGTCGGATTGTTTGGCCTCCCGTTGCCAGGGTCACGCCTCTGTCTAGGAGAAACCACTCTCATCTGGCGGCATTCTGGCTCCGTCGGCTACCGTCCGTCCAGCCCTCCTCCGCGCGTCTCTCGCCGGCAATTGGAGTGGCCTGGCCGGACGGATAACGCCCCCGTTCTCAGATTGTGTGGCTGTGGCCGGGTGTGTGCCTGAGACTCAGTGCCAGGGCCAGGCGCAGCCCCGGGCGGCGGGGGCGGCGGTGGGCGGTAGCTAATGGAGTCACGATCTTACTCCCCAGTGCCGACAGCCCGCGACCCCTGTGCCACCGAGCAGGTAGCCGTGTCGTGAATACAGACAAATGGAAAATGGAACGTGCGCCGCGCTGGAAGGCTGTGTCTCTTCCAGTTCTAACTCGTGATAGCGACCGGTTGACATTTTGAACGTTCTGACCACTGGTCGATGATCGAAAATCTATTGCCTGATTAGGTGATTCATTGGTTGAGTTAAAATTGTATGGCGGTCGATAGTTGCGTGTATGTGGGAGTTTACGTCGATTCGTGGTTAGTTTCCCAAAGCACAGGTAGCCGTTATAGCGCGGTATCCGGCTGTATCGTGGATGGTTGCCAGGTCCCCTGTTGTTAGCTCGGCGCCGGTCCCCTGTCGTTAGCTGGGCGCCGCTCGTGACAATGCCACTGCGTCATCGGTTGCGGATACGCCGCTGTTTAACCACCACGCTCCCCGTGCCTTCGCTGACCTCTGACCCGTGACCGTGACCCCGACAGGTCCGGCCGTGTTCCCGGGACCCTACTATGGCCTGCCGTACGTGTATCCGGCCAGCATGCTGCAGCCGGGCCAGGCGGCGGCGGCCGGCGCGCGGCCCGGTCGGCCCGTCACCCCCGGCGGCTCCGGCTCAGTGGAGGCCGCTGGCGGAGCGCCGCCCTCGGCCGCCGCAGCCGGAGCCGTGCCCTACATGATCCCTGCGGCCATCTACGACCAGAACGGTCTGGTGGTGAGCGGACTGCGCGGAGTCGGCAACGGCGGCCCCGTACGACTCGTCTCCCCGGCGCCGGTCATCATCAACTCGGGAGGTGCGCCGGGCCCGCTCGGCAACGGCCTGCGGATGCTGGGCAGCCAGGGGCCGCAGATCGGCACACCGCCGTCCGTGTTCAACGGCAGCGCGCCCAACTTTGCCGTGTCTTCAGCGGCCGCCACCGGCGCAGGTAGGTGACGGGACGGGACGGGACGGGGTGGGACAGGTTGGGGGGTGGGATGGGTCAAGCGACTGACGTGTGTGAGAGGAGTAGGCGTGAGAGACAGTGTAAATGATTGGGCAGAGAGTGATGGCAGACAAGTGGGAGATACAAGAGATGTAAGGACTGGTGTTCGAACTTGGAGGACTGGTCGACCTTAACTGAGAAAGAGACAAAGAGAGTTAATGCTCCTCCGTAGATGATACACTTGTTTTTTTTTTTTTTAATGAGAAGTATACGTTCAGGTTCACTCAAATTAATTATCGCTCAAGTCACATGCATGCGTGCACCACTAGGACCACGTAAGACTGCAAACGACAAAGTTTTTCCTGATGGGTTAGCGTTGTCACCTAATCAATGGCGAACGATCGGAGTCCACTATCCTGAGGAAAGGCCTAGGCTGTGTCTTGTGTAGCCAGTTGTCTCTGGGTCTCCTATTGCCACCGCTGGGCGGGGCCGGTCCGGTGCGCGTGATCCGATAATGGGCCCGACGATGGCGCCGGATATTTCCCCTCTCCGACGACGGATCTGTTAGACAGGCTCACTGGTGACGGGCCGATATATCTGCGACAGACAGACGGTGGTGTGTGCTTAGACGTGCGGACAGAATGGGATCAGGGAGGCAGATAGATAAACACGTACAGACAAAGAGACATGCATGCAGACGCAAACAATGATCAGACAGATAGGCTTGCTTGATTGTTTTTAGTAAGTTCATGCCTGTGCACCAATTCAGTTGTAAATTTCTACATATTGTCATGTCCATCATCAACAGACGACAAAAAGCATACAGACAGAAAATCAGACGAGCATATACACCAGGCACGTACGTCGTACACAGACAGACACATAGACGGATAGTGCAGACAGGGCAGTTAGTTCAGCAGACAAACATACATACACGGGCCGCTGTCCTGCGTGAGAGGCCATCCGTTGTTAGAGGTCGGCGACCGTCGTTAGCTGGACATGACACGGCTGTTCGCAGCGGAAAATGTCCTGGCCTCACGATATTCCCTAAGGATAACCTGATTGGAACACCGACCGAGGTTGCTGGGTGGTGGGGAGGGATGGCAGCTTTTTCTAAGGGTGTTAATGGATGAGAGATGTGTTGTACGTGGCATTGCTTTCAACGGAAATGACGCGCATTGTTGTATGCTGAGTGCAAATGTCCTAGATGAAAGTTGTTTTGTTACATGAGTGTCATCAGTCTTGCTTTTACATGTGGCTGTGTGTCAGGGCCAGATTAGCGGCGATGTGCCGGTAAACTCGTCTTATCTCGTTGGGCAATCTCAGCCGCTAGCACACGACATACTACAACTCACTTCAACAGTGTCAAACGCCGCTGACCATGTGTGTTCCCTGCTCGGCAGATACTCTAACGAACGGCTCCGTGTCATCGTTCGGTCAGCTGGGCCTGCAGCCGAGCAGCTACGGCGGCTCGTCGCTGGCCGGCCTGGGCGCCGCCGGCTCAGCCAGTCAGATGAGCACGAGTGTCGCCTCGCGCCGGGACTCGTTCGACCGCGGCTCGTCGGCCTTCTCACCGACAGTCGACTTCAAGCCGCCGCGCTGGCCGAGCAGTTACGGCGCGCTCGGCTCGGCCTCCTCGTCCGGCCTGGGGCTGGCGTCGAGCAGCCTGACGCCGCCGCCCAGCCTCAACTCGAACTCACTGCCGCTGGGCCCGCTGGTCGGAGGTCTGGGCGGCAGTATGCTGTCGGCGGCGCCGGGCGCCGAAGGTCGTCACCGCACCAGTCTGTCGGCGGGCGTGTTCGCTGGCGCAGGGGGAGGAGGCAGCTCACTGTTCCCTCCGCGGCGAGGTAGCAGTGTGGATCGCTCCTCAGCAGGACGCAGCAAACTGCTGGAGGATTTCCGGAACAACCGCTACCCGAACCTGCAGCTCCGGGACCTTCAGCAGCACTTTAAGGAGTTCTCACAGGACCAGCATGGCTCGCGGTTTATTCAGCAGAAGTTAGAGCGGGCCACTCTAGCAGAGAAGCAGCTGGTGTTCGGTGAAATCCTCAGTGCGTCCTACGGCCTGATGACGGACGTATTCGGAAACTACGTCATCCAGAAGTTCTTTGAGTTCGGCACGCCGGAGCAGAAGACGACTCTGGTACAGAGGATCACGGGCCACGTGTTGTCGTTGGCGACACAAATGTACGGCTGCCGCGTCATACAGAAGGCACTCGAGTCCGTCTCAGTGGAGGAGCAGAAGGAGTTAGTGCGCGAGCTCGACGGCCACGTCCTCAAGTGCGTCAAAGACCAAAACGGCAACCACGTCGTACAAAAGTGCATCGAGTGCATCGAGCCTCTGTCTCTACAGTTCATCGTGGACGCGTTCCGGGGCCAGGTCCTGGCGCTGTCCACCCACCCGTACGGCTGCCGCGTGATCCAGAGGATCCTGGAGCACTGTCAGCCGGAACAGACGCGGCCGCTGCTCGACGAGCTGCACCAGAGCACCGAGCAACTACTGCAGGACCAGTACGGAAACTATGTGGTACAGCACGTGGTCGAGCACGGCCCGCCGGAGGACCGCTCGCAGATCATCAAGGCTGTGCGCGGCAAGATCGTTGTCCTGTCGCAGCACAAGTTTGCCAGCAACGTCATCGAGAAATGTGTCATGTTCGGCACTCGGCAGGAGCGCTCACAGCTCATCGAGGAGGTCTGCTCCTTCAATGACGCGTAAGTTAAGCGGGGAATCCCTGGGGTCGGCTTGGCTTGGGTGTCTCAATGTGTCTGTTTATTCTTGGTCTATTTACTGTGTGCAGTATGCATGTGTGGATGGGGGGTAATGATAAATAATAGAGTAACCCAATCTACGCAACCTATCTAATCTGTGTAATCTGTGTAATAGGTCTAATGCGTAGATGGATCATCCGTAGCCAGTGCGCCCCAGGCTTTATCTTCACTCTAATCGCGCCGTCTTTGGAGATCGACAGAGCCCACCGGTCTCAGATTGTCCCCGGATAACAGTTTATTGCAGTATTTGCGGTATCATTACTGTCGTCCTGCCACGCGATACTGCCCCCGGGACGGCGCCAGTAAAAACTCCGCGGCGGCCCGGTGTTTGCGTCGTGCTGTCAGCGGACGGCGGTCTCGCCATGTTGGATAAACTGGTTGCTCTCTCTGGGCCGCGCGCTGACAGCTGTGGGGCCCCGTCCGGGGGAGGGTTGGACCGGTTAGTCGGATCGAGTGTTGGATGGTCAGAGGTACAGTTTAATCCCCAGTGGATGTGAATCGGGGAGTTCTGTTCCAATTCTGTCTCCGGCGTATTATCTGCGGGAGTTTAACCTACCCAGCCAGCGGCAGCGGCAGCGGTGATGATATCGGCCCAGTGTGCCGCATTCCTCCGCCCACCCCCTCTCTCCGTCCCTCCTTTCCTCTCTCCGTCGCCGCCGTTAATGCAGCGCCGGCAGCCATATCGCCGACGGGAGATTGGCCGGCCGGCGCTGTAATAGCGTGCTGCTGGCGCCCGTATTGGGCCGCCCTCGGGAGCGGCACCTGGCGAGAAGCCCCTCCCCGCTCGCGCACCGCCGCCGCCGCCCGCTCGGACCGGCCAGATTAAACTGGTGCGCGCTGGCCGACCCCCGTTGTGGAGCGGTGATCTGGTACGGGATGAGTACACGGGTGCTCGGGATGGCGAGCTCACTGCGTTAGTGGGAGTAATGAGAGGGACTTAGCGGTGTAAGCTTGTCCTGGTGGGATCGTAAGGAAAGCTAAGGTCAGCCGTGGTGTCGCAGGTCTATGTGGCTCTGTCTGTCTGTTACTGGCTATGTGCGTCAAAAACATTTTTGTGTGTATGCTGCCCTGTGTCTATTTGCTCTGTATCTCAAAATGTGTAGTTCTCTCCGTTTGTCTTTCTGTTGTGTGTTGATCTGTCGAGTCTGAATCTGTCTGCTCGGACTGCTGAGTGCTTTGTGGTCGCTGTGTAATGGCTGTGACGCCCCGACTGTATTGGTTGGCCGCGTGGCCCGGCGCCTGTGAGATGGATGGCACCGATCTACCACCGCAGTCGGGAACTGTCGGATAGTCTCCGCCTCAGACTACAATAACGCTAGAGTAGTGTGTCTGCTTCGATCACTCTAATGTGGCCTTGTTTGTGCGTGGCAGAACGATGCTGGCGCTACTGAAGGATCAGTTCGGCAACTACGTCATACAGAAGATGATCGACGTGGCGGAACATGCACAGAGGAAGGCGCTGCTTGGCAAACTGAGGCCGCACCTCAACAACCTGAAGCGGTACACGTTCGGTGAGTGAGATGGGTGATGTCTTGGTGACCTTTATTGATGTAATGGAGGACGGGTAGGTATGGGAAATCGAGGGGAATTGTTTTCGAGCGTCTGGAGGATGTGTAAAAGTGCTTGGGAGTTTTGGGTACGGATGTGTGCCGAAATGGTTTTGAACTTTGTGTTTATTTGACGTTCATGGATCCAGTTTCCGCCCTCGTAGTTTACAGTCAGTCACCAGAGTCAACCGGACTAGGCCACTTTATTTCACAGAATCATTTGTTTCGGCAAAGCTAGTCGTGTGCATTTGCCGGTCGGATTATCATATGATAAGCCATTTCCAGACAGTATAAATCGTCGGCCGGGGGTGTTGTCGCCATCCATCGTCTGGGAGACTGCCTCCCCCCCCCCCCCCACACACACACCTCCCGTCCCTCCCCGATACCTCCTTCATCGTGGCGCAGCTGGGAGTGGCGACCCCGGCGCGCCGAATTGAATTACCTACGGCGGCTGGCAGCGACCGGTGGCTTCTGGCTGTCGCAGGTGGCAACTCTAATTGGCCCTCGCCTTCGCTTCCGCTCGCTAACAATCGGATTAGTGACGGAGCACTTGGTCCCTTGTGCGTGCGGAAGTGTGTGAGGTCGGCAGAGATGCCTTGTCAGCGACAGATGATGTGAAGTTTTCTGCCTCGCCATGCTCTAACCCGGTCGGTCGCTGATAGGTCGGCTGGTCAGGTATGTTTGGCTTCCGCGGCCGGTCGCCTCGACTAATTGGCCGTATGATTGCAATCGAAGGCCGCCGTCGTTTTTGCGGCCTCCCCCGATGTGTTTTAGGTGTGTGGGCGTCCCAGGTATGCTGCCGGTTTTGAAAGGCGGATTAGTGACGAGATGTGCGGCATTCAGAAGCTGCTGTCTGTCAACTGGCGAGTGTTTGATGGTTGCATACACGACGGCAGACATGTTTAGCACATGGGACGGCGTCGTGCGGTTTTTGTTATTACTGCAATCGTTTGAAATTCTATTAAACACGTTGGCTGCTGGATATTTGATTATAAAATTGTTTGAAAGGTAATACTCATGTTTTGTCGGATATTGTGGTGTATTGTTCGTTTGTTTGGCACGTCGTTACTAGCGGTTTAGTGTTTTCTGCAAGGATCAGCGGTGTTGAATCGAACCGAACGTCTCCACGTCGAATCAGTCTGACGTCTCTGTCGGCATTTGGTGGTCGCGGTGCCCCTTTGTTCTGCCCTCAGTTGATGTCGTGATGGCTCCGAGTTTGCAGCTGCTCCCCGCTCCAAAACCTCTCACCGGTTTTCACTCGTTCACCTCCCTGCCTTTCCCCGCTGCACGTTCGGTCCCTGTCCGAAGTTGGTCTGTTTTTCGCCCGGTGAGGCACTGACGGAGTTAGGTTGTAATCGTGTTCGACCGACATCTGAGTTAGTCGCAGAGTTTTAATACAATCCGCAGGGCAGTGGAATTAAAAACATGTCTTACAAGAGTGCTTTCCGATCCGCTACCGCTTTGTGATTCCACAGGGCGAGGGGCTGGTGGAGCTTCTACGGGTGTTCAGATGTGAATACTGAGGTCCAGAGAATATGTTGTCATTCGACTATTGATTGATCTGACCCACCATCTGTAACTGAACTCGATGTTTCATTACGTGTGTGACACTGTCTGACCACAGTCTCTGTCCTTTCGCAGGTAAACACATTCTGGCCAAACTGGAGAAGTACATGGGCCGTCAGCCGGCCGCCGGCCAGGAGCTGGGTCCGATCGGGCCACCGCAGCCGTCAGGGAATGGTGTGCCGCCGGCCCACGTGCAGGCGCAGGGTCACGGCCTGTAGTGCGCGCCGGACGGCAGTGCATGAGACTGGTCACAGCCCACTGACGGGACGGATGGTCTGACTCGACGGCCGCGCCCGATCGACGGTCGACGCCGGACGGTGACTGTCCGACCGGGATGCTGGTGGTGTGGCATCGCCTGCCGCCGCAGGAGCAAGCTGAGGGTATCGAGCCACCCGCGGCCGTCGCGCCGCGGCAGTGACACTCCAAGACGACACCGCCGCCGCGTCCCGCTGACCAGACTGAGGCGACCTTCGCGGCGAGGCTGGAATGTCGCCGAGGTACGCCCGGCGCGCCCGACCGGCTCGGTCGCGTGAGAAGACGCCCCTCGACGCGTGATGTGTCTGACTTGCCACAGCGGCCCATCGACCCACTGCCACCGCCGCCGCCGCCGCCGCCGCCGTCCGGGCTGCCTCGACCGTCCGCGCACCGCTTCATTTGTACATACAGCATTCAGGGTCCAAGACGTGTGTTCTGTGTACATTTTCGCGCACGATAAATCCGCGTTCGGCGCTCGGCGGCATCGGCTGCGGCTGTGACTCCCGTGCCAAGAGGCAGGACCGGCCGGCCCGCCGACGCGCCGACGCTTCTCAATGACTGAAGGAAGAGAGAGAGAGAGAGATGGAGAGCGAGGTCCGGGTTGCGGCGGTGGTGGCGGCGGTGGCGGACGAGGCAGTGGCGGCGGTGGGCACGACGCTATAAAGTGCGGTGACAATGGAGGAATAATGAGCTACCGGCGGCGACTGGCGCGCGCCGCTGCCACCTCTATCTCTGTCTGCGTCTCTCCTGTCTCTTGTTTGACTCTGTTTTCTCTATGCGTTTATGTACAGCATGACACGCGTCATCTACTGTCTGTCACTGTAGATATGTCCAAAGGATTCTGTAGATAGCCATCCCCGGAGCCGTCTCCATCTTGTAAAAATCATCTGTACAGGAAACTCTTTATTTTGATACAAAACCACTAGGAGAGCGTTTTTGTTTTTACTTTGTGTGTTGCGCGCCGGGCCCACTAACTATTGTTTTCTCCTGATGGTCTGACGACGATGGACCGCACGCCTAGTTAAGTAGACCGCCTGGCTGCGTGCCGGCTCTCAGAAACTGGCTTCAGCGCGGCCGCTGAGGGCATTACCGCTGTCCGCCCCCGCCCCCGCCCGTACCGTCTCGGTCAGTAGCCGGTCGCCCGTTTTAAAGGTGACGATGTGGCGGGTCGCCCCTGCCCTCCCCGCCCGCCCCGGATCGCCGGCCGGGCTGACCTCTCGTGGTCGTCCGACCCCGCCTCTGCCACCCGTCTCACTCTGTGCACGCTGACGCGCGCGTCCCAGGCCGGCGGCGGTGGCCAGTCGGCTGGCGATTCCCGTGCCCCTCTCCCTCCCCCCCCCCCCCTCCCCTGACCCCACGCTGTATGCTACACCGACTTCGAAGCCGTCGGCTGTATTATATGACTGTAAAATACTGTACTGTAGTCAATAATACATTTTCTGTAACGACGGACACAGATTGTGTTTCCCGAGTACCTGAGAACCTGAAGCCCAGTAGTTGGTAGTTTGGAACGGGTCATGGGCGTCATTAAAGGGACTGTTCCATCTTCATGTGTTAGCAGTGTGTGTTATGACTGCGAATGGCCGTGCATCGGTCAGATCGTTGGAGTTGGGACAGTCCTTTTGGTTCCGATCATCTAGTCGTCGCGATCATTGATCATTTGTTCATTGGCACATATTGTACATACATACATTATCATCGGGGTCATCTTCATTACCATCATCGCCACATAACATCATCAGCGTCGTCATAACGTCATCACATAATAACCCTTACCATTATCAATATATTCATCAACAATCGGCATTGTGCATCGAGCACAAGAATCGACAACTTCGCTGCAATGAGGCGAAACATGGTGAACAATGCGGTTATCTGTATACGATTTGTCCATTACCAGCCAAGAGATGTTTTTGTTACGACTTACGTGGTTATTTACGACGTGGGTACGGGCATGTGTCGCTGAATAGTGGAAGTTCTGAACTGCAGCAAGGGTTTTCGTGAACATTCATCTAGCATTCAGGAACTTCGGGAATCAGCGGTTATCTGTTCCGATTCCCCAGAGCCATGAATATTTCAGAAAACCACGCGCCTTTGGCGTCTCAGGTATTTTATTGCTTCATTTCGAAAACAGGTGGTGCCCCAAAGCTGCTCCATGAATATGCAGATTGCAGACTGACCGCGGTCCCAGTGGTAAATGGAGATAGGAGTTCTAGCTGTTACGTTGAGGATTGGTCCATACTACCGCGTCTGTCTATTCCACTCCGCTCTGGAGATAAGGTTAATGCTTAGATCGGGCTCGTCTGATGGATTGATGATTGACTGCCTGCTATCAATCGTCCTTTTTCCTTTTCTTCAATGTGGAATTGTATGATGAAAGGAACGTGATGTTAAGATCTCGGTTTTTTATTTGTTTTTTTTATTTGTAAAAATTATATCAATTCAGATATATCTCGGACGTACTGCCCCATAACTTACGAAAGCTCCTGCTGTATCCAAATTTCATTTAGAAAACATCGCCCGTATTAGCAATCGGACCCACGAATGGCCTGCTGCAGCGGACACCAACAGACTGTTGCTATCCTGCAGTAGGTATACCTCACGTCTGCACTTCGTCCCTCGGGAGTAGCTCAGTAATATGTTGCTCGAATGCAGAGTGCACCTAGGGACCTGGGGCCGTATTCCAAGCAGCTGAATTCTGGGTGTAGTAAAAGCTTCTGTCCGTAAAATCACCTCAGAGCTGATTGAAGACTCCCGTACCGAAAAACGAAAAGACTTTCTCGCGTTCGAGGCACGCGACTTCGGCGCCGGCTGCTGCAGCGAAAAGTGGCGGTGGCACTTCAGGGAGCCTATTACGGCTCTGATGCCACCACAAGGTGCGGATCTCATTCGATCGTGAAATTCATCGCTGGCTCCGGAAACTCCATTCCGGGTAGGAGACGACCTCTGGGATAGCCCGGCGGCCGCTGCTGATCGGCGGAGATGGCGGCTCCGGTCGGCCGGGCATGAGATGGGCGGATGATCGCCTCTCGCATATCCGTCCATCTTACCTAGCGCCTAGCAGCCTCTCTGACTACGGAAGTCGCAAACGTGAGACGAACATTTTGAGCTGCATTTAAACACCTCCGACATCTCCTCCCGACATCACCATTCACCCCTGACATCGACGTCTTTAAATATCTCGCGATTTGACTCTCCAAGTTCTGTATTCCACAATGACACAACGTCCAAAACTGTCGAGACTTCATCAAGTCATGCGTAGCATAGTCGCCAAGGCACATCCCACCGTCACTAAGACACGTCTTTCCGGCACCATTTCACCCTTCCCCCGGCATCAGCTCGCGCAGTGTCTGGCGCTCCATAACTCATTCGGTCGTCTGGCGATGCGCAGTTGATGGCCGTCTATCGGCCCACTATATCCCGGCGTGGCGGTCCATCGGTCCGGCCGCCGATAGTGCCTGGAGCGATACGGAGGTCGGGGGCCGTTAGAGCCTGCTTTGTGGGAGGTGCGCTACCGACCAGCACGAGTTATGGCCCCCGGCTGTCCATAAATGGGTGAAGTGTGAGGCGGAGCGGCGTGCTGACTGACCGGTGCCGTAGGTATTGGCTCGGTGGGTAGTCAATGGGCAGTGCGGTGGTCGTAACCCGCTCGTATAATATATGTAATACTCGATGAGCAATATGATTCACAAAATACAATGGTCTGCATCACTTTTAAGATAAAAACTGACAGTGCCGCCGTACGTCGTTCATGAAAAAAGACTACGATAGGGCGTGCCGGCAATTTATGTCCTTGCATCCATGTTTCATATAAATTCTAAGCTTTACTTTTTATGTAAACTGGCTGCTTCAACCATGTGTTGCGATGGTTATCTCAACAGTTCCACAATTCACGGCACTTGACGAGCATGAGATCAGTACGTAAGCCGGCCTAAGAGAAAGTGACTCCTTCTCAGCCAAGGCACTAGCAGACTTCCGAGGATCACCTTGAGCGAGTTTCGCAGCCAGCTCTGACGCAGCTGAAGATTCACTGTTCTGCGAAACTGGTTAGCGATGGTGGCTTTATTACGACGTCTGCGGGCCCGGTTTTCCCAATCACGGATATTGATACAGGCATTTAATCATCAGGGGTCGATTGACTTGGACTTTAATTAAGCAGAGGCGCAGTTTCTCTTGCACCATTGAATATGCTCCTGGGGCTTTCTCAATCATACTGGGATCAGGACAAACTTGTATGCTGACGTGTTAAAAGTTAAAACGTCAGCGACTAGGTACCTTATTGTACCGTTCACTCCAGTCTGGAAAGCGAGTTATGCTCTCTGGAGATGCTTCGCTGATGGCAATTAACCTTCCAGGCGGTGGGGGGGGGGCATTTTTTTGCCCCCCCCCCCTCTTTAGTTTTTTTTTCGATATATCTCGAGAACCGCTGCGCCGATCGTCACCAAACTTTCAGTACCCTCCCGGGAGCAGCTAGCGCACATGGTGACCAAAAATTTTCCAAAGGCTATGATAGGTTGGCCGCTAATGACGTCAGAGTGACGTCATTTTTGCCGTTTTCGACCCAAAAAAGGGTTTCGCGAGAAGAGCTGTCAGGCCTACAGCTTTAGAGATACAGAAAAATGTTTCAGACATAAAAGGTGTGGAATTAAAAGGGCTACAAAACTGCTTTTTCGGTTTTTCGAATTTTTTGGATTTTGACCCCCAAAAATCAAAAAAATAGATTTTTTGAATATAATAGCCAAAAAATCCGATTTTTTTTTGAATTTCGAAAAAAACCGGAATATATGTGATAGCCCCTACCGCTTTCTATCTACATACCAAATTTGAGATCGATACCTCTTTTTTTGGCCAAGTTATAGCGAAAAAACTGTTCAAAATTGATGACGTCAAATTTTCAAACTCAATTTTTAGCAATTCTAGACCTCGTAGCGCAAAACAAAGACCATCATTAGACTCCCCGTGACGAGCTGCATCGAATCGATACCCATTTTACGCAAAAATATCAACTTTGAAATTTGACCTTTTTTGACCTGACCTTGACCTGACCTTCACCAGAAAGTGACCTAAACCGTATCTGATGGTCTTATAACCATCACCATTGAGTTGGAAATGAAAAACTGGCCATAAAACATGCATCGCATAACCCTAGTAAAGTTGGGCTCATGTGGTGACCCTTGGTGACCTTTGGTGACCTGACCTGTGACCTGACCTGGTATGACCAGTGACCTCTAATAGCAACATATGTACTAGACAACTGACGCCTTATCGCTGATTTTCGACAAAATGCGTTTTACTCGGTGTTATAACGCTTTCCCTAGAACAGTGGTCGGCGGGTCCTCCGGGATCGTGCCCCCTTTTTTGGCGCCAGGCAGGGCCATTACCCCCACCTACCAGACCCCATTGGTGATACAACCAAGGTTACTGAAATTCCATACTTTTCCGTGACTCTTTGGGTACCATATCTGCGAGAAACCGCAGGCCCCCTCCCCTGCGGTTTCTCGCAAATATCTCAAAAACGTTGGCACGGAGCGCCACCATTTTGGAACATTTTATCATACATCGTTTCTGCACATGTTGTGAATATTTCAGACCAGAGTCACTCAAGGTCAGGTCACCAGATCACGTCAAGTGACCTCACTTCAGTAAAGATTGCAACGCCTGCTTTAGCTGCATTGAGTGACAGATCTCTTTCAAACTTTCAGGAATTGATAAAGGCAACAACATGTACAAAATTTGTATCTCGGAGATTTGATGTCGGTGACCAAAGTTCAGGTCATTTTCACGCCCTCTCCCATTATCAATGGGAGAGGGCGCAAAGTCAATGGTAGAAAATTGAAAGGCGCCTCTTTTGGACCAGTGTCATTCCTAACACTGTGACATTCTTATTTACAAGTAAACATGACCGCTGAACCGGGAAAATTGCACCCGTAACCCCACTGTATGTCCCTGAGGTCATTTCAGGTCATGAATGGTATGTAACAGCTATTCGCTAATAACTTTTGGTAAAGGCATCCCAGAGCGATGAAAATGCCTTAGATGTGTTCAGCTCGACGATACGGATCGACTGATGTGCAACAAAACCTTCGATGCTTCTCGACGGGAGGATCACGATGCTGATACTAAAAGTGAGCTCTTGCAAGTTTTGAATGAAAAGTTATTTAAGAAAAACTATCAGCAAGCAACCTACATTTTGGCAGTTTTTGTCTCCCATGCAGGCTAAACCACCCTCGGTTGAATCTGAGGGCAGGCATCAGAAAAAAACGTTAAGAGAGCTATCGAATGCGTTTTTCCGCAGCGCTATAGCTCTATCCTTTCCTGAGCTATAGGCCAGTTTGTCGAAAATTGTCAAAGGTTGACCTAGAAATTGGCGAAATCTTACGTTCGATGACCTCTTGTGACCTGACCTTTGATTTGACCTAAAAGGTGACCATAGTTTTTTCTTCATCATTTCTTACGCTCTTTCGATCGCCGACTACGGCGTTTCGCTAGTGACCCAGGACCAAGTTAATAGGGGGTGTTCAACCTCCATCTCCAGCAGGGCGTGGAAATCCTGGAGCCCCAGCGGGGCGCGGGTTAACCCCCATACGTATAGGGGTAGCGGGTATTTTTCGAGAATAGATCACGTTAAAAGGGTCGGATCACGAAAAAAAAAACTGTACCATCGAGCCGATCATTTTTATCTGTCCTGAAAATGGCATGACCTTAACCCGAATAACCGTTGATTTGTGAGATCTTTCTTGAGATCATGGCAGGCCACAAAATCTCACTTCAAGAAGTTACAGCAGGACGCGATTAACTCGGCAGTTGTTATTGACCTATGGAAGGTCACTCAATGACCAACGACCTTTAAATTGGGTAGCAGCGGCGGCTTATCTTCACGGGCAACACGCTCAATTTTTCTGCAAAGCTCCAGCTCAGAGACTGAGATGTTCAGGTCAGGGTGCAATGGACGACTCCTCTCCCTTGCGTTAGTGACTGTGAAAACGCCAATAGACGAGCGCCGGCTAGTACATGACAGTTACTTTCCACGACTGTACGGAATGGTGTGCAGCTACATGAAAATTGGCATGCGCCAGCTAATCAGTTCATGCTTTGTGCGTTTGACCTCGACTAATCTTTGAATCCTGGGGCACAACAGTTGCGATGTTTGTCCCATCAAGGGAGCCATTAATTCTAAAAAAGATGAGGCTTTCTCAGAGGCCCTCATTACCCCCCGCCGAAGGGCGCCATTACCCCCAAAGGGGGCATGCCCCACCATTTGTCGACCCCTGCCCTAGAAGCCCCGTGAACGGTGAAACATTTTATCTTTGACCTGACCTGTGACGTCATCGGTGACCCCGAGGTCAATGAAATTTGGTTTCCTTCGACAAATTTGACAGGGCTATCGAACGCCGTTTGAATTTTCCGGATCCGTCTAGTAGTTTCGGAGATACGGGGGGGGGGGGGGCAAAAAAGTGCCCCCCCCCCCCCCACCGCGCGGAAGGTGGCTGGTAGGCCCACCGCCTGCCGGGTTAACCCTATTCCTAGCGGGGGGCCTCAGGAGCCCCCCCCCTGAGGTTTTTTGGTTATTTCTCCCAAACGCGTTGAGCTAGGAAGCTCAAATTTTCTGACTTTTCCTAAAAGGCTTCTACGCAACATGTCTGAAAATTTTGAGTTGATCTGACCTCAGGTCAGGTCACCAGAGGCGGTTTGGTGACCCTACCTCAGAAAAGTTTGCAATCACGCCAGAACTAGAGTTTTTGACCAATCGATTTCTTCTCTTCAGGCTTTAGTTAGGGTACCAGTATGTGCAATTTGTATATCTCGGAATTTTGATATCGGTGACCTAAGGTCAGGTCAGTTTCGCGACCTCCCCATTATAAGTCAATGGGGGAAAAATCAACTCCCTGTTTTTACCACTAAAACGGGTCGGAATGGCCCCATATATCATACATGACTTCATATACGATCAACCTTCACTACCTTGAGGTCTGTTTTGCTGTTGGGCAGCTGTGAGGTCATGTGACGTCATCAAAGGTCACCAAAGGTTTTTGGCCAATAACTCCGTACAGGAACAAGATACAAACGCGTGGATGGTCTCATTGTGTTCAGCTCGTCAAGACGCATCGAATGATATACATGATGACCTCGAGGTCACGTGACCTGAGGTCAACCTTTGACCTTGACCTTTCGAGGTCAACATATATATCATTCGATGCGGATTGACGAGAGGATCACGATGATGCCCTTAGTTTGTTCCTATCTTGACTAATTTGAAAGTTATTCGAGAAAAACTCTCTCCATATCTAGCGTCGCCATTTTGACTTTTTCGACCCCTGTGACGTCATCTTTGACCTGACCTGAAAATGACCTTTGTAAAAATTGTAGATCTTGACCGTGCGTATCCGATGCCGTTCACCGTTTGTCGCTGCGATGTGTAGTTTTTGAGATCTGAAGGGGGGCCGAATCGGCCCCCCCCCGCCAGTTTCTTGTCCCGGCGGAGCCCGCCAGGAATAGGGTTAAAGGAGCTGATGAATCGCTCCGTGCAATTTTGCCATTCGCTCACCAATTCAGAACCCAGCTTCCAGTCCATGTTAACCTTCCAGGCGGTGGGAGGGGGGCATTTTTTGCCCCCTTTCGTTTTTTCGATATATCTCCAGAACCGCTGCGCCGATCGTCACCAAACTTTCAGTACCCTCGAGGGTACTGAGGGTAGCTATTCACGGGAGGGCCCTCCCGTGAATAGCTATTGCACATTGTGACCAAAAAAATCCAAAGGCTATGATAGGTTGGCCGCTAATGACGTCAGAGTGACGTCATTTCTGCCATGTTCGACCCAAAAAAGGTTTCGCGGGAAGAGCTGTCAGGCCTACAGCTTTAGAGATACAGAAAAATGTTTCAACATAAACGATGTAGAATTTAAATGGCTACAAAACTGCTATCTCGGATTTTGATTTTTTATTTTGACTCCCTAAAAAATAGATTTTTTTTTAAAATATAATAGCCAAAAAATTCAAAAAGTTTTTTGAATTTCGAAAAAACGGAATACCTAGGTATATGTGAAAGTCCCTATCGCCTTCTATCTACATACCAAATTTGAGATCGATACCTCTTTTCTGGCTAAGTTATAGCGAAAAAACTGTTCAAAATTGATGACGTCAAATTTCCAAACACCATTTTTAGCAATTCTACATCTCGTAGCGCAAAACAAAGACCACCATTAGACTCCCCGTGACGAGCTGCATCGAATCTATACCCATTTCATGCAAAACTATCAACTTTAAAATTTGACCTTTTTTGACCTGACCTTGACCTGACCTCCGCCAGAAAGTGACCTAAACCGTACCTGATGGTCTTATAACCAGCACCATTGAGTTGGAAATGAAAAACTGGCCATAAAACATGTATCGCACAACCTTAGTAAAGTTGGGTTCATATGGTGAGCCTTGGTGACCTGACCTGTGAAATTGTGATCTGACCTGGTATGACCAGTGGCCTCTAATAGCAACATATGTACAAGACAACTGACGCCCTATCGCTGATTTTCGACAAAATGCGTTTTAATAATAATATAAGAATAACCAGTAACCTCATAATATAAATCAGAAATAGGAGCCAAAAAGTTATATTTAAAGTTATCGAATATTTCGCTACTGGAGCTTCGTCAGCGATTATTACAGAAAACATATACGTTTTTTCGTATGTTTTTCTGTAATTATCGCTGACGAAGCTCCAGTAGCGAAATATTCGATAACTTTAAATATAACTTTTTGGCTCCTATTTCTGATTTATATTATGAGGTTACTGGTTATTCTTATATTATTATTATTCATCATGAGCCTCAAGCAGAGTTTCAGCTTTTCAAAAATGCGTTTTACTCGGTGTTATAGCGCTTTCCCTAGAAGACCCGTGAACGGTGAAACATTTTATCTTTGACCTGACCTGTGACGTCATCGGTGACCCCGAGGTCAATGAAAATTGGTTCCTTAAGACAAATTTGACAGGGCTATCGAACGCCGTTTGAATTTTCCGGATCCGTTCAGTAGTTTCGGAGATACGGGGGGCCAAAAAATGCCCCCTCCCCCACCGCGCGGAAGGTGGCCAGGAGGCCCGCCGCCTGCCGGGTTAATGACGGGTGGTTTCACCTAACCGCTCAGGCCACGGTCTCGTTCTACAATACATATAGACTCGTACGCTGCTGACCACTTTTAGTCCTGCCTTCAGCAAAAATGAACTTTTTTATCTAAAAAAATAAGCTTTAAATAGATTGAACTTTCTACCTTTTGTGGCTTAGGTAGTGCTTCATATGCTTTTACCCTGACAATAAGGTTGGCATATTTGCGCGTGTTTTTTACATTGTATTTGCTATCCACCATATAGCACGTTTAGCATGTAAATGGGTTAGCATAGCTCGTTGGTGAACAGATAAATGAAAGGAATGAAAGTTGAGTGCTTAATTAAGTGAAACTTATCTGATCGATGAATTTTAAACTGCCATTATAAAACAATGAATCTTGTTTATGGTCCCAAGGCCTCATATCTAACAGACGTGATGCACCAACCAAAGGCGTGACCAACCCAACTAAGACAACTTTTATTTATAGTATCAGATGAAACGGAAAAGTCCCAATATGCCGGTCCAGAATGGACCAAAAGCGTTGTCTCTGACTGATTGAAGCACGACCTCAATTGCTCTCAGCCCTATTGGCTGCACTCACCAAGAGATTGCTGCTCTGAATGTGAAGTTGAGTTTTTATCCAACGACCATTTTTGAACGACACGTCGCGTTTAAGCTCTGAGAAATGAGAATCACATAGATTTCAGTGTTATTATGCCGTTAATTCCGACAGAATATCACATAGGTATGCCACGAACACTAAACTAAATAGATACACGGCGCTCAGTCTAAGAATTATTCTCGACAGCACAACTCTCGCTACATGTGTTTGTGCGGTGAGAACCGCGAACTACCTATCTTTATCAAAATGGTTGTGCTTTCAACACGATTAAGAAGTTTAAAACCAAATCATCACAATCGAATTCAAAAGACCAACTTAATAAAGCCAACCCATAATATGGAGTGGTTGCATGCCAGCGACTTCTGGATCACTTACGAAAGACTATGGCTGTCGCTGGACAGTTGCCAGCGCCCAGCTGAATGATGACAACAGAGCCGACATGTCATTTGTCGGATTGGGGATCACGGAGACAGTAGATCACTTGGCCTTGATAAGACCCTAGCCTGTATGGCGAATATGCTTATCTGACTCGAGCATGGCTCGTTACACCATAACTTACAGGGGATTTTCGGGCGCATAGTTGTAAACCAGCGTGGTGTTAGACGAAACAGCTCTTCTGTTCTTTGCAGAACGCCTCATGGGAGGCTAACCCGCTTTACTCAGCAGCTTCTTTGCATGGGAGTAGCTGAAAGTAGAATGGGCCGCACAACACAGCGGCTTGGCAGTTTTTAACATAAGAGTGCGTAAAGATTGTCCACAGACTTTCGCAAACTGCACTGTCTTTTTTTCCTTTTTTTGACATTCGAGAAAAAAAAAATAAACCGAAATTTGCGGAATTACGAGAAACGGGAATCTACTAGAGCGGTAAAAAAATGATATCTGATAAATTCTAAAGGACTTAAAAAACAATAGGCGACAATATACATATACTACTGGGTGCGCTGTCCCTAGTTCTATATGCTTTCTGGCAAATATTTGTGTGTCTTGTGTGGCGCGTCAGTACAGCGTCGTGCCGTCTGTCGTTTTGGCCGTGTTCTCGACGCACCTGCGCTCGTTAGCGGACGGCAGTGTCAACATGTCATTATTGGCATCCGCTCGCACGGACACACACAGATACGTCCTGTGGACATGCCTGTCCGCCGTCCGCCGTGTCCATTATTCACCTCGCATGGAATGAAAAATCAGCGGTCTCAGACAGCTCGCCAAGATGGCAAAAACAAGCCAATTATACCTATCTCTAGTGCAAAAATAGCTAAATGCTTGCTATAGATTGTCCTGAATTCAAAATACCTAATCTTCGAGTGCCTTTAACACATCTCAAGGGAGATGTTCATATAGCTAATACCATGCTAATACTAAATAGCAATGAAGTTGTTGGCTTACATATGTTTTTCCTGTGTAGGATCGATGCCATAATCGGAGATCGTCGGACGGACAGGTGGCTGCCTTCATTGACAGATCAGATGGCTGATCAGACGATATGACACCATGGGGTGTGTATATCGTACGTCGACGTACGTAGCCATGGCGACAGGCCTCGCTTCTTGCGATATACCCGATTATGTTGACGGTCAGGTGTTTCCTGAAGGAACTCATGCGCGATGGAGCTGGTAGGAGCTGGTTATGTCGCATCACCATTGGCAATAGTTAGCATCGTAATTTAATGTGTACAAACAGAAAAAGTGTCCAAACCGTCATATTGAAATAAAGAGGACTTCTTAACTTTAAACTTAAACTTAAAGTCTAATTTGATCACAGCACACACAAAAAGAAACGATAGTATTTAATTATGCAAATACAGGACACTTAATCACCATCGATCATCATCAACCATCCCTTTATTTGAAGCAAGATGTGCTCTTGAAGGCTGCTTAAGAGACTGATAGCCTCATCATTCCAGCATTCAATTCGTATTCTTTTCCTCTAAAGGTACTCCAATGCAGACGGTCGGTGGCAGGATGTTCAATTTATGGTCTCCGCATTGGACAGCGGGCGGCGGCCGGGGAGCCGGTTAGGAGATGAGTCCATTTCGGTCCGGTCGCCCGCGCGATCCCTGGACGAGGGGGCTCATTTCACGGCCGCTCAGCTCGAGAAATGGCTGCCACCGATGGCGCTCCGTGTCACTGCCAGTACCGGCGGGTCGGAGCGGACGAGGGGCTCGGTCCGCCCGGCCCGGCCCGCCGCTCCTCGTCGCGAGAGCTGCGCCCGATGGACGGCTGTGTAAGTCAGCCTCTTACGCTTTTACTGCCGCCGCAAAACGACCACATGTCAGCTCCCGGCATGGAGTGGACTGCAGGAAGATGAAATTAGGTACAGTGGATCTAGTAAGGATCTCCAGACGCAACTAGATGGCGTTGAGCCTTAGTCGAGTCCATGTGATATTCAAGGAGAGGTCACTACCGAGCTGGGCCCGATGGGGAGGTGGGTGGTAGCGGAGGGGGGTGGCGGGGCGGGTGGCGAGGTCACGGTGCGGGTGACCTGTCAAACAGCCCCGGCGCGGTGGGGCACTGCCGCAGGCAAATGGCGCACTCAAGCGTTGTTCCATATCGCGGTGGTGGGCCGGGCGGCCGGTTAGCTTGGCAGTTGACTGCGTGGAAGGGAAGGATAATGAGGCATGGGTTTGCTGTGGCCGGCTCATCTACTGTCAACTATATGGTGAACCCAAAGTAATGCAAATGTGACATTAAGCTCCGCCCACTGCGTCCCTACGTCAGCCTTCAGTCACCGCACACAGCGACCGCTGTGGCCGTTCGGGACCGGCCACAGGAAACCGTCCACCGCACGCAGCCGTGACGTCAGAACCGCCTACCCATCCCCTACCCCCACGCCTGCTGGACCCACCGCACACACCGCACGCAGCAGTGTGCGGTGCCCGTGAAAAGCCCTCCGAAATTAGCCTTTGTTTGTCTGAACATGATTGGTGTGTAAGACACCGGTCCAACCGGGTTCAACCCGGCCCAACCTGGTTCGGCTCCCCTTTTTTAATATAAATTTGGCCCGAACCTTTTTGAAGGAAAGGAATCACAAGGACAAAGTCCCCACTAAGCTGAGCTTGTTGCGTTGACCCTGCCCTCTACCCTCCGATCAAGCAATTCCTGGTCTATGGCAGAATTAAGAGTCCAAATCTTCACCGTTCCGTGCTTCTATCCTCAGGATACTGAAATCCTTCTCCTCCACGCCGCAACCCCCCTCCGGGCTGGACAGGCAACTTTATCTCATGCGGGCTGCTCCCTTGGAGCGGCACCGCTGCTCCCGAGGGAGCGCACCCCGTAGCCGGGTGCAGTGAGTGCCTTGGGCTGGGTGGCCTGTCCTCTGGACGGGCTCAGCCCCGGCGACTCACTACTGACCGAGCTACCGCAACCGGGACGGACTTTTACCTTGGGGTTTCGCCTCGTGACATTGACAGACGTCAGACAGTAGACACTTTGACCGAACTTTAGCCGAAACACTGAGCAAGCTGCGCAGGCCGATAGTTGCTCGTAGCGTTGAGGTTGGGTAACTGTGAGCTGAATGCGATGTCGTGAGTTCGAGCCCCACTCCCGGGTCTGGTTTTATCTAGACACGAACTAAAACCTTTCCTTCTACTGCAACACAGATAAGCACGATAACATCTTTTTCCAATATCTTCTCCCAACATCCTCTCCAAAAGTCAAAATTATCACTAATAAATGTTTAGCTAAGTTTAATTTCTTAACCTTCGCCCCAGTGGGGGGGGGCATATGTTACCACCCTGTCGCGTTTTTTGCGTGTGAATAAAAAACCGCGGCGCGTAGCGCCGCGCCGCTTGGGGTAGCTTTTGGTACATCAATTTTGGACAATGTGTGAAATTTTTGACCCCAGGTCATGTCAGGTCAGGTCACCAGGTCAAGTTAACTGACCAAGCCTAAAAAAAGTTTGCAATCATGTCCAGCCTGCAGTGTTTGTCAGAAAGGTTCCAAACTTGGTGGATTGCATGCTGTTATGAGCGTCTACAATTTGTATATCTCGGATTTTTTATATCCGTGACCTAAGGTCAGGTCAGTGGCGAAACCTTTCCATTACAAGTCAATGGAGAAAAATGAAAATGCCTCTAGATCCGTGTGTACGCATCGGAACAGTCCAAATATTTCAGAATCACAATGATTTAGTCCACTCGTGATGACCAAGGTGTCATTTTTGCTGATAGCCTCTAGACAGGTCATCCGAGGTCACTTGAGGCTACAAACAGTTTTTTGCCAATAACTTGCGATTGGAAAGAGATAGAACGCTGGGGATGGTCTCATTGTGTTTGCCTTGTTGAGACGCATCGACTGATATGCAGCATGACCTTTTCCGGTAAGGTCATGACCTTGACCTGAGGTCAAATTTTCAACTTGACGTTTCAAGGTCAAATTATAGTTCATTCGACGCGTCTTGAGAGGAACACGATTCTGGCAATAGAAATGTCGTGGCTTTTTGTAGTCGAAAGTTATTGTCGAAAAACACTTTTCGTAAAAACAGCTATTTTTGGACTTTTTGCCCTCTGGAGGCCAAACCGTTGACCTGAGGTCAATATTGATTATTACCTTTTCAAAAGAAAAGTTCAAAAGCTATCGATTGCTTTTCCCTGCGTTATTCTAGCTACCATAGTTCCTGAGATAGCGGCATGTTTTCTGAAAAATATAATGACAATTGGCAAATTTTGACCTTTGATGACCTCTGGTGACCCCAATATTGCTCTAAGGTGAAAAACGACTGAAATACTTTCAAACGTACGCATTGAGAGCTATCGACTGCTTTTTACCGCGTCTTTCTAGCCCTCTTAGTTTTTGAGTTAGAGGTGGGTGGTAACATATGCCCCCCCCTCACTAGGGCGAAGTTGGCTGAGACCGCCACTGGGGCGCGGGTTAAAGAAAATATTTTTGGTCATTTGTCTTGAGCCATTTCAACTCTTTTTTCTTTTCTGCTTCTTTTCGACCCGGTAAAACCCACCAAAACAGAACGTGCCAAATGAAAAATATCTAACTCAAATAACAGTTAAGAAAAGCCTCATGCATCATGAAAAGCATCATGCAACTATCGACTGAATAGTTGCATGCTATGAATACGTGCTAGATTTCAATTATCATTGTTCAACATTTTGGCTGGAACTGACGCTGCCTCTGGCTTGCCCGTTTGTTTGAGATAATGATTCCCTTCAGTCGCATTCTTGCCGGTTCCACATGAACAGGATACCACCATACCGGAGTGAACGCACCCGCAACTGCATCATCCCCTCCCCTCAACCTTGGCGCAGTGGCGGGCGGCCCTGGGCGGCCCACTCCCGGCGCTACGCACGCCCCATGCGCCGTGATACCGCGTCACTCCCCCTCCCTCCTTCCCCCACAATGACCGGTGACCTCACTTCCCTCGGGATTTGGACTCGCCCTACCCCGACCGTAGCGCCACG